GAAAAGGGAACCCTCTTACACTGTTGGTGGGAATGCAAATTAGTACAGCCACTATGGAAAACAGTGTGGAGATTTCTTAAAAAGCTGGAAATAGAACTGCCATATGACCCAGCAATCCCACTTCTGGGCATACACACCGAGGAAACCAGATCTGAAAGAGACACGTGCACCCCAATGTTCATCGCAGCACTGTTTATAATAGCCAGGACATGGAAGCAACCTAGATGCCCATCAGCAGACGAATGGATGAGGAAGCTGTGGTACATATACACCATGGAATATTACTCAGCCATTAAAAAGAATTCATTTGAATCAGTTCTAATGAGATGGATGAAACTGGAGCCCATTATACAGAGCGAAGTAAGCCAGAAAGATAAAGACCATTACAGTATACTAACACATATATATGGAATTTAGAAAGATGGTAACGATAACCCTATATGCAAAACAGAAAAAGAGACTCAGATGTATAGAACAGACTTGTGGACTCTGTGGGAGAAGGCGAGGGTGGGATGTTTCAAGAGAACAGCATCGAAACATGTATATTATCTAGGGTGAAACAGATCACCAGCCCAGGTTGGATGCATGAGACAAGTGCTCGGGCCTGGTGCACTGGGAAGACCCAGAGGGATCAGGTGGAGAGCGAAGTGGGAGGGGGGATCGGGATGGGGAATACATGTAACTCCATGGCTGATTCATGTCAGTGTATGACAAAACCCACTACAATATTGTAAAATAATTAGCCTCCAACTAATAAAAATAAATGAAAAAAAAAAGAAAAAAAAAAGTCCTGCAAACTAATGTAAGGTGTTAATAACAGGAAAAATTAGTGAGAACTCTCTATATTATCTTCTGAATTCTTCCATAAATCTAAAATTGTTGTAAAAAATAAAGTAAGGCTTTAAAAAATGTGTAAATAATAGGCACTGATATGGATCAATTGTTAAGGGAAAAAAGCAAAATTGATACTGAAAGTATTTAACAACTAGAATCGCTTAGGAACCAATCAAAATGGCTGCTGATAGTTTATCTTGCTGAGCTGGTGTGTAGCACAGGAAAAAAGTAAAGTGCAAAGCAGAGCTTCCCATGTGTATAAAACGTAGGGACAGAAAATATGTATGTGTGTTTATTTACATACATTTTTATCAATATAGGCATAGCTTAGAAATATACTTAAGAAACTGATAACAGTGGTTCACTGACTCTAGAGAGGAGTTGAATAAGCTCTCCATGCAATTTATTGTTTAAAGCAGGTCAATTTTGAGAATAAAAGGGAGCATTATTTATAATTACTCCAGAACAATAAGCATAAAGTTGTGTTGTACTGTTAAGTTAGGTATATGACCCTCCTAGACCTGGGGCAGGAGGGTTTAGAGAGTCAGTGTTTGGAGCAGGATTACTTTTCCCTCTATCATAAGATAAATTGTTCTTATCCTCTTTTTAACTTTTTTGGAGTAAAAAGACCCCTGGAAAATGGAATGAATATTCAGTCTACAATGAAATCAGAATGGGAGAATGTTAAAAAAAAAAAAAAAATTTAGCCATTTTTGCCTATCATTATCATTAAGTAAGAAATTCAACTGTTATTGTTAAGATGAAGGGTGAACCTGGGTGTTGAAAATTTTAGCTAATAAACTTACTAAGAGTGTTAACAATCAAAACTTCTAAACCTAAGTAGTCCATATAATAGATTAATAGTTGTGGATTTCGAGCCATTCAGAAAGTGAGCATGTTAGTCATTCAGATGTGTCCAGCTCTTTGTGACCCCATGGATTATAGCCCACCAGGCTCCTCTGTCCGTGTAATTCTCCAAGCAAGAATACTGGAATGGGTTGCCATTTCCTACTCCAGGGGATCTTCCCGACCCAGGGATTGAACCTGGGCCTCCTGCATTGCAGGCAGATTCTTCACCACTGAGCCACCAGGGAAGTATTAGTAAACACAGGGGCTGTTGCTAATCTGTGGCTCTTTCTTTCCTTGTCCTTCAACAACAAGTTAAAGTTTTAGGGGTGTGGGATGGGGGATAGGTAAACCAAACTCAAACATCATAACTTTACAATGTTACCCAGCAGTATGCTGGTTTCAGTCACACTGATATAAAATTAGGACATAACATTAATAATTGTAACTTCAGAATTTGGTCACTTGGAGAAAATGACGTTATGTGACAAGTGAATTAGAAAAAAAAATCACTGGCAGATAATCATAGAATGTATATTATATTGCAATTCTTGGTCTGAAAAAATTTGCATGCATTAACTCACTTAATCCTTTTACTTTTTAAAAAATAAAACCCAATGAGAAATAGGTACTGTTACAATTCTCATTTTATAGATGAAGAAAACTGAGTTTCAGAGAGGTTAAGTAACTTGCTACATCACACAGTGTGTAAGTAGTCGAGTCAAACTTTGAACCCAAGTCAGTAATTTCAGAGTTAGGGCTATTCACCCTGATGTTACACTGCCTCCAGGGTCTGGGTTGGCACCTGGGACTTAAATTCCAACTCCAAATCAACCACTTCCATATTTTTAAAGTAAAATCAGGGCATGCGGTTTGAGAATGGGTTAGTGTGTTTTGTGGATTCCCCCCAACCCCTCCCCCACTCCAGCCAAAATTCAAGATGTGAAGTTACTGTGACTAAAAAGGATGTCACTGAAATCCTCTGGTTTCTGTTCTGTCACCAATGCAGTGAGAGAGGTGAACTATATATTTCCAAGGCTTCACTTGCTTTGTAAAAATAGGAAACTTTCCCAAGTTCCAGATACTCTTTAAAATGTCCTACAGATATTGATTTGTTTTATCTTCCTAACAGCCCTATGACATGGCTTTACTAGTCCCATAATAGAGGAAAGCAAACTGAGGAAATTTTTGCATTGATAATTCTTTTTGCATTTTGTGTTGATTTAAAGTCTTCTACAGCTATGATTTCAGGAGGCAAAGGCAGAACTTGTCTTCACCTGTTCCCTCTTCCAGCAACCAGACTCTCCCTGGTTCTCTGGTCTTCCTGCCTGTTACCCCCAGGGATTGCTTGAGGATTTGAGAAAATCATGTGGATTAAAAAAATGGTCAGAGGAGGCAAGGTAGAAAGCAAAATATTCACAGCAACTTGGATATAGGATAATAAGTGAAAGGAGCAAAATCAACCTGGAAAATGCTGCTTTCACTTGTTTTTCTTCTGCTGTCTAGGTTCCTTACCCCCATCTTGCAAGTACACATACATTATAGGTTAGTACAGAGAGAAATTCTTAATGAAAGGACCATTTCTTTTAAAAATCACCATTCACAGAATTCAGCTCAGCGTCAGCCTGAACAATTCCCCAAATATATTAGAACCCCAAGGGTTCTATACAAAGGAAAATGAGACCGTTTCTGGACTTTATAGCCCAAGACAGACCTGAATCTGTGTCTCTGGCCTTACAGTTTCTGGCTGTGAGCCCTTGAATATGCTACTTAACATTTCTAATAAGAGTAGTTTCCTTTCACTGAGCCCAGCCTGAGGGTCAGGGAGGCACTTCACAAACTCCATCTTTAACACACATGACAGTTCTGGCAGATACTGGCTATTATCCCCATTGTATAGATTGTATCACTGAGGCCCTGTGAATCAACGAGGATTCCAACCAAATTCCGATGCTTTTACCATCACATCCTCTTGCAGTTTCAACCTCAGTCCTCTTTCCTATGAAATGGAATTAAATGATGCCATCCTTCAAAAGAATGACATGCGGCAACATAGATAACATGCCTGGTTCAGAATCAAGCACATGTGTTTACACACTAAATAGTGGCTCTTATTATCATGAAAGAAAGTAACACGGGGGGATATCACAGCGCCTTCACTGCTACATGAGTTAAGAGGAGAAAGCAGTTCTTTCCAACCAGAGAGCATCTCTGGTTTCTTGGTATCTGAGTGGGGCCTTGAAAGAAGAAATATGCTCGGGCATGTGGCAATGATAGGTGAGTGTGGGAAATAAGAAAACCTTCCTAGGTGAATTTTTAAAGTACAGAAATGGAAACTGTCCTGGTTACCTGTTTTTTGTTGTTGTTGTTGTTTTTGTTTTTTCAATTTCCTGAAAGAACTACAAAAGTTCAACTGCCAGCTTTTGAGAGAAAAAAGGAAACCCACCATGAATTTTTCCAGGTTATATAGGATTATAGTCTCAAAGAAGGTGACAGCCCACCCTCTTTCCTAGGTAACACCCTGATTCTAGACAAGAGGGACAAAGAGGAGACTGGAGAAACCAGCTTCTAGAAATGAGAATCTCCAGCCCCTTCTTCATCACCTTTCCAGTGTCCTAGACTCTATATCCCTTGAAAACGAGTGCAGCCGGCCAGCTAGTCTGGTTCCAGCTGAATCATTTACACTAAATACGTATTGATAAGTAGAACAAAAGTCATTTTATTGCTTATATATAAAAATGAGTTGGTTTTTCTGCCACATCTCCCTGTGAACAAACAGACAGACTTTAAATATATATAAGAACAAGAACAGGCTCGCAAACCACAGAGATGTCAAATGTGGCTATGCTGTATAAAGCATGCAACCTAAATTTACAGAAGAGCTTGCTTTCATTTTTGAAACGCAGTTTCTCTTTAAGAGCCTCAGCTGTAAAATATGGAAGAAGTCTTTTGTTAGTCACTTTCACATTTTTTTCAAGTTCAACAAAACAGATAAATACCAAGTTCAGAGTAAATCCCACAAGAGAGCTAGAGAAACAGTGAGAGGAAAGAAGGAAAGATAAGTTGTGACTTAACAACAACAAAATATCAAGTCAGTCTAAGACAACCAAAAAAAAAAAAAGTCTGTGTATCACAGCCCTCCCCTTTGAAGAAAGTCTCAGGACTTATTTTGCCATAGAGGAAGATAAATGTTACAATATCTCGTGAACCAATCAGCGACGCTGAAGGCCTCAAACCAGGAAACCTTTAAAGTGTAGTATTTTAAATTGTGCAAGTGAGACTTCAGGTTCTCAGTGAGTGTTTCTTCCCTGTGCTTGCAGGATGGAAAAGCAGATGTGAAGTCCCTCATGGCGAAGTTTAACAACGGGGGCAACCCCACGGAGGAGGTCTCAGTCAACAGCCGGCCCTTCAAGGTCCCGGGACAAAACTCCCCTTCAGGAGTCCAGGCCAAAAAGAACTTGTTCAACAACCAAGGAAATGCAAGCCCTCCTGCAGGACTGAGCAACGTGCCCAAATTTGGATCCCCCAAGCCACCTGTGGGGGTGAAACCTTCTCCTGAGGAAAAGCCTGACAAGGAGCCCAAGCCCCCATTTCTAAAGCCAACGGGAGTGAGTCCCAGGTTTGGACCGCAGGCTAACTCGGCCACCAGAGACCCCGAGGTGAAAGCAGGATTTCTGAAACCTGTAGGCCCCAAGCCCATCAACTTACCAAAAGAAGACGCCAAACCTGCATTTCCCTGGCCTCCTGGGACTAAACCTTCACTTCCCAGTGTAAACCAAGACCATGACTTAAAACCAGGCCCCAAGCCGGGGTCAATGCCTCCAGCCCTGGAGAGTGAACCAAAACAAGTCTTGTCAAAGTTGGCTGGGGCAAAAGGCAAATTTCTGTCAGCCTCACAAGATCTGGACCCCAAGCCCCTCTTCCCCAAGCCTGTCTTTGGTCAAAAGCTACCCCTGAACACAGAGGATGCCCAGGAAAACGAGAGCCCCACCAAGACTGTGGCTCCACAGAGAGGGCCCCTGGCCCCCCCAGCAGCCAAGGCCAAGCCTGGCCCTTTGAAACCAGCCAGGGAAGAGCCAGAGAATAAAGAACATGGGGGTGAGACGTCAGTGTCTCCTTTTCCGGGAGTTGTTCTGAAACCTGCTGCAAACAGAGTGGCCCCCGGAGGCCTCCCCAAAAATACTGAAGAGAAAAGAGAAGATAGGAAGATGGACGCTGCTAAGAATGTCTTCCTGAGCAAAATTACTCAGGAAGAGTCGGCCTCTGGGGCTCCTCCTGCCAAGTTCTCGAAGACCCCTTCAAAGCTGACATCGACAGGGCCCTGGAGCCAAAGTCAAGACAAGGAAAAGGGGGACAAAAATTCAGCGACCCCCAAGCAGAGACCCCTGCCTTCCTTGTTTACCCTGGGACCCCCTCCACCAAAACCCAGCAGGCCACCCCACGTTGACCTGTCGAAATTCCGAAAAGCCACATCTGGAAACTGTGAGTTCTCTCCTTTGTTATTTCATGTGTTCTGCTTCCCATCAGAGGGTGTTCTAGCTTCTGGGTAAAAATTTGTAACAAGGAATGATTTCATCACCAGTACTCCTGTGTGTATGATGACTTTTCCTTGGCAGGTTTCTTTCTTTCTTTTTTTTTTTTTTCTGGTGTGGGACGTCTGAGGGAGTTGAAATCCTTGTTCTATTCTGTGAGGAAGTGCCTTGAGGGGGCTGCTTTGGGGTCTTGGGGAGGAATACATCCATTTGATTACTAGGTAGTCTTGCTTAATGATGACCATTTCCTTTACTTCCTTTGTTGGCTTTCATTTCTGTTGAATTAAGAATGAGCTGTGTTCCCTCTAGTACATTAGACAAAGGCATTAGAAGGTGAGCAAACCTCCGAGTCAAGTGATGGAGCCCAGGGGACATTTGACTCTCACGGCTGCAGGGTGCTCCTGGCATCCAGCGAGTAGAGGCCAGAGACGCTGCTAAACACCCCACAGTACGCAGGAGAGCTCCTCCCAAGAAAGAATTATCCAGGCCCGAGTGTCAACAGTGCAGAGGTTGAGAAGCCTTGTGACAAATGATTTTAATCCACAAATTTATCATGTGTCTCGTAAGTCCAGTATTCAAATAAGAGATGCCCAGGACTTGTGAAATGGCACTTACTGTTTTATATTTTAGCTGCTGTTTTTCAGTCAGCATAAAGTTTTCTGAACATTCCTGATTGCTAAAGTAGTACTTTAGGATAATAAGCCAGGCAGAGGGACACATTATTTTCCTTCTGGGTAAATAGTTTAATTTTCTATCAGAGATGTTACCACCCTGCCATGGCATACAATAAAAGTTGATCCCTAGTGACTTGGTAAAGCTTGGTAACCCTCCAAGTGATGCAAGAAGCTCACTTGTGCTTGAAATGATTAAGACTTTAGGCAAATAATGTGCAATTGTTGTTTATCATGAGAAAAGGAAAAGGATGGTTACAAGTGACCACACCACTACTAGATATATCTTTTTTTACTTACAAGAGTGTGATCTATTTAAAGCAATTCTGAGTATAAAGGTAGTTTGTTTTATTTTGGTCCTGTAGAAACATTTTGCAATATGTCATTTCCCTGAGATCAATATTCTCTATGTCAAACCACAGATTAGTAATCAAATGCCCCATTAATCACTCACATAGAAACAAGTTTGGAATGACCCCACGATCATCTGTTTTCTAGAAAGAGTCAGTCTTGTTCCACTTATGTCCTCATATATCATCCATCATGTGCTAGTTCTAATACTGATCCATAACTCAGAAATGTTTGTTTTGCTTTTTTTTTTTATCTTCTAAAGGACCCTTTCTAATTCCCTATCTTAATTTTTCTGTGCCTCAGGTAAAAATGAGCGATCATAACCACCATTTTATGTCTCTGACTTCATGCCAAAGAAACTGTCCTGATGCAAAATAGAAATCTTTGAGAGGTTTCTTCTATGTCCTCCATCTTTATTTCCAGTGCACTACCTGGTTTGAATGGTGGTACTCGATGTCTGCTGTTGTGCTATTGAAATGCCCGTGAAGCTCTCTTTTGGCTCTGTAGTCCCAGCAAGGTCAGCCTGGAGCTGATTTTCAGTGAAATACAGCTCCAAGAGACTCAAGCAAAATTGCTTAGGAAGCCAAGTTGATCCTTGCCCTCTTTCTCCTTCTCCTTGCAACCCTGTCCCTATCCGATGTGCCTCCCCACTGCTCAAGTGTCCCATGACACAGTTAGATTCTAAGTCTTCTCATCAATGTACCCCAGCTCTACCCTCTGATCCCTTGATACTTATTATGCTTCAAACTGTTCCCTCTTCATCCACCTCTTCCAGAAATCAAAACTCAATCTTTTTTTTTGGTGGGAGGTGGGATTCTGAATTTTGTTAAAAAATATTTTATGTTGGAGTGCAGTCGATTAGCAATGTTGTGATAGTTTCAGGCAAATGGCAAAGGGACTCAGCCACACATATATGTGTATCCAAACTCCCCTCCCATCCAGGCTGCCCCATAACATTGAGCAGAGTTCCCTATCCTAATACAGTAGATCCTTATTGGTTATCTATTTTAAGTATAGCAGTGTATATATACATGTCAGTCCCAAACTCCCTAGCTGCTTTTTCCCCCATCTTTTCCCCAAGGTAACCAAAAATTCAAAACTCAATCTTCTTAATCTGAACTGACATCAAGTTGTTGTCAGTATAAAGCAATCTAGTTCATAACTAATTCTGAGTAACACCCCTTTACAGCATTCATGATTTTAAAAATGCATTTAATTTTTAACTGATTTTTTAAGTAGAAATTATATCTGGCTCAAAAACAACAACTATAAAATGAAATACAGTGAAAAGTACTTTTAGTCAGTCTCCACCATTTGCTGGGTCTCCACAGAAACGACTCCTCTTAATTGCTATATCTGTCCAAAATTTCTTTATGCTTACCCAAGCAAATATCAATATAGATATTAATCTTTTTGCCTTTTACTGAAGAAATAAAATACAGTATGCATTGCTTTGATCTTCTGATTATATTTTTAAAATAAAAATATAATTCCTGTCTATCTTTCCACATTTTAATAAGAGGTTACTGTTGAGCTGCATGATATTCAGGTAAATGGATGACTTGCCTAATTGATGTAACAGTTTGTATTGTTTCCAAACTTTTGCTCCTCAAAACAGTGCTTCAGAAAACAACTTTGTATATGTGTCACAAAAATGAACACTTATTTCCTGAACACAGAGACTTTCTTCATAGTCAGGTTTGCTGACTCCTAATCCCACCACTGCTATTGTTCCAAAACCATACTAAGTAGTTTAGCATTCTGTTTAGGAAGGTTAAAAGAATACCAGAATTTGATAGTGTATCATAGTATTCAAATTAATTGAAACCTCATCTAACTCTGTAGGTTTTCAAAACTCTAAAACATTTTTCCTAGCCTTCTACCTGATTCCTTCCTTTCCAGGTTCACATTTAATTCCTTAAACCTCTTTTCCAAATCTGCCTTCCATCTTTTATCATCTTTGTCCAATATATCAGCCAGTAAGGGGACTTCCCTGGTGGTCCAGTGGTTAAGACTATGCTTTCCAACACAGGGGGACACGGATTTAATCCCTGTTTGGGAAGCTAAAATCCCATATGCCTCATGGCCAAAAAGCCAAATCATAAAGCAGAAGCAATATTGTAACAAACTCAATAAAAACTTTAAAAATGTTCCTCATCAAAAAAAAACTTTAAAAATAAAAAGAAGGCTTATCATTGATTTAGGCTTTGTTACATATTAGATACATGTTACCCCTGTTTATTCCTCCTAAGAAACCAATGGAAATGGGAATTCTAGTGGAAACTAAAGCTCAGAGGGTTAGGGGACTTGCCCAAATCCACAATGTGACTAGGCAGGGAAATTGGTCCTGGGCATTGGGCACAGTCCTCCCGTCTCTCTGATTTCAGAGCCTGTGACCCCCTCATCACCCTCCCTGCTACTTTCCCTCTCTCGAAACATAATTATTATGAAATAATAAATCAAGCATAAATGAAACCCACAGAATCTTCATCCTTCTCCCTTTCTCTGTCCTTTGGTTGAAAATTGTCATTTTTTTGTTTTGCTATAAATACCACCATAAATACTATAAATACCAGAAATAAGATCCATGTAGACAGAGGACAGTGTGCTTAACATTATCTATTTGGAGCACAGAAATAATATATTCTTGTTAGTTGTTTAAATTTGTCTTCCCACCAAAGTCTAATAGGAATTCAGTATTCATACTCTCTATAGCTTAGCAATTACTTTTAACAAACTGTGTAACCCATCCCAATAGAATTATCCTCAATTGAATGATGCTTCGATACAAAATAAATATTATATCTATACAAAATGGCCCATAATTTAGATCTATTCTGTTACTTACTTGTAACCACAGCTTGAATATAACCTGTTACTTTTCTGAGCATGGAATGAATAGCTTTTCTTTTCTCCAGAATCACTGAAGGTACAAAAGCCTAAACTTAAAAAAAAAAATCCAAATATCAAAATGTTCTCTGAACTAACCTTTTCTCTGGTTCCTTTTGGTTCCTGAGCAGTAGTGAAAGGCCTTCCTCCCAGACACCAATGTGTGTGCCTCACAGCAAAGTGTGAGTTGCTAAGGACCCCTAGCCTGACTGTAGGTGTGCATGTAGGAGTTGATAAAACCTACCGGGAAACATTCAATCCAACCCTTTTTCTGGTCTTGTTTTTAAAGCTAGAGAAAAACTAAAACTCATCTTTCCACATGTTAGCTTCAAGAATGATCAGCTCAGGGACTTTCCTGGTGGTCCAGTGGCTAAGACTCCATTCTCCCAGTGCTGGGGGGCCAAGTTCGATCCCTGGTTGGGGATCTAGACCCCACATGCCACATCTGGGAGTTTAAATGCTACAACTAAAAGATTCTGCAACAAAAATCAAAGATCCCTCATGCGACAACTAAGACCCAGTGCAGTCAAATAAATAAATATTTAAAAAAGAGAGAGAGAAAATGATTAGCTCATCATCTTGACAACTGAAGGGGTAAGGCCAGGGTGCCTGTGGGCAATAACAAAGGGCTAATGATGTGGCTGACCCATTCCCTCTCTGTTTGTATCACTCTAACTAATCCATCCTGCACCAACTTGGAACCAAAAGGTGCTTGGGTTATTTTCATCAGCAAGTCGCTTGTTTCTAGGAGGGGCAATATTTTCCATCACAGGCTCTGAAACTCTCATGTCTCTTCTCTTTCTCTCTCCTTTTACATGTATTCTCTTAAAATCACCTTATTAGATTGTATATTTGAAAAATGTTTGATGTCGGTGTGTGTTGATCCTAACTACTGCATGAAAAAGGGATTCAATGCTGAAGCACATTTAAGAAGTGTGAGGCTGAGTGGATCCTTTACAGCAGGATTTCTACAAGCATTACTACACTGCTTTGTGCTTTAAATCTAAGAACAAGGTACTTAAAAACATCCCAGGACAAT